GTCATCTGAATTGTTTTAGTTTTAGTCTAGTTTTAGTCGACGAAATACAATAACATTTTAGTCGACTAAATCTACAGTAGATTTAGTCGACTAAAATATAATGGGTTTAGTTAAATTGTAATGCGTTAATTTAGAATTTCTCTAAAATTTCCAAACCCATTTACTCCCGGAGAAAACATCTATTAACCTAGTAATATGAATGATTTTTAAGTTTGAACATGCAATACAGATACAGATTTAACTGCTGTTACTTAAAAAATATCTTAAAATTAAATAAAACCACTTTTCCTAAAGTACAACACAGTCTTCTTTACAATGAATGATATATGCATTCCTTATAACTACTTGCATACATCATTCTTTATTCTTTCAAGCAGACATATTTATTTGTATGAATTCAATATAATTAATCCTTATTAAAGCTATTAACAAACAGTGAATGCTTTTCTCTTTTTCTTTTGTTGCTTGATCAAAATTAAGGACACGGACCGCATTATGTTTATTGCCACTGTCACTTTAAGACGTCGGATCATGTCCAATGACATGCGGATACAATTGCACTGATGCACATCCGATACACTCACAGTTTAAGACATAACCAGCATAGTTTACATGAATACTCTCTAAAAAGGACATTTAGACATACTGTTGTGTGTATTTGTCCATTCAGACACGAAAGAGAGCTCAATTCAGTAGCCTACTCGCGCGCTGTAGGTGTATTGTGCATTGTGCATGACTGCACGCTTCGGGTTAGGTGTGTGCGCACAGAAAACCGCACCGAATAGAGCTCTTTTTTGCATCGTCACTCTTATTCAGATCCAGGGGCGTAGCAACCGGGGGGGACGGGGGGGACACGTCCCCCCCACTTTTAGAAACAGGTGATTCTGTCCCCCGCATTTTTTTTACTCAGCGCCAATATTTCCGCCCGTGTTCTCTGATTTGTTACTTAGACTTGAGTGAGCTAACATTCAGCCAATCACAGCGCGAAGCATCTATTGGGCGCGTCTGCCATGAGCTTCAAATCTGTTGTTGCTCTTGCGAATTTTCGTGTTTGTTTCGCTTTGCTGCTTGGCCGTCTAATGCACCCCAGAAAAAAAAGCAGAGGACTACATCATTTTTTTTCAAACACACACTATTACAGTATGTCGCGATGACATGAATCACAGGTAAAGTTTCCTTATTATGATTTAACCTACTGTAACGCTGTAAGAAGTGTAAGACAACAGAACCCGTATGGACCTCGTCACGTCGCGCCGGATTGTGCCGAGTGTGTGTTAAATGCTCTCCTACTTGTTGCTTTGGATAAAAGCGTCTGTTAAATGAGACATAAGATAACAGATTATTCCCAGCAGGCACACAACGTCATAAGACGTTGATATTTGGTTAAATTTTGGTTGCGACGTCGGGTGACCAAAATTCAATGTAAATTCAACATCTAATGTCAATGTTAAATTGATGTCCAAAACCGAATACATTGATTTAGGTTTTATTGATATATTTTTATAAAATGTCTGTTGTATAAAATTACTGTAGGCTATGATGTAATCTGTTATGTACTCATTGAACACTTTTTTTGGCCCAACTGTTAGTAAGATAAAAGTTATTGTTCAAGTGTAGTTTAACTGAAATATTGTAAATATCATAAAATATCTTTATTTCATAAAAATAAAGTATAGATGTCCACAGTTGTCTGAAAGTCCCAAGTCCTGCAATATTTTTTTATTTCGAGTATGATTTCACAAAAATAGGTGCTGTAAACTGGCATGTTCCCAAAATTGGCACTAGGGTGCTGTAAAATGCCAATTGCTATTCCATCTAGAATTTATTATTATGAACATCACCTTTCAGTCCCTCCAGAAAAACGCGATTATGCGATCGCATGATTCAATGCATAATCAGCCAAAGTCTGCATATTTATGCGGGGGCATTTTTTCAAATACGCCGCACTTTTGCCGTATAAATTGCCGATTTCCACGCAAAATATGCGGGGCTTGTATGATTTCATAATCCCCGCATTTTTGTTGCAAAAAAAGTCACATATATCTTAGCAGAAAGTTGAAAAATGTTGCGTTTGCTTCACACGAGAGCAGCCGTTTCCCCCTGTTGCCATGGGAACGTTATGAAGTGACGTAATTACGCGACATGAACATCATTGAAAAAACAAAACTGTAAAACATGAAACATTTTTTTCATATTTTATTTATTCATTTTTACAGAAGTTGTAGCATATTCCTTTTGTAAAGCTACAGAACTTGTTTGACTCATCAATGTTTTGTAAGTTTGAGCCATGTGTTTATTAAGGTCTGAAATAAAACAAGATTAAATATTCCAGCACTTTCTGTGATGTAGTATGTTTGCTTATCATAGGAAGTAATAAGAAATAGCTCTTTACATTAAGGTAGTAGCCTAGTGCGAACAGGGTGTTGGGGAATCACTTTTTCTCTCTTTTTCATCAAACCGCAGTTTTTGCAAGTTCCCGCAATTTCATCACATAAAATTGCAAATATCCTGCATATTCCATCGCCGCATAATCAAGGATTTTTGCCCGCAACAATCACAAAAAAACTCCGCATTTTTCTGGAAGGACTGACCTTTGGGTCACATCACCACACAATTTTGTCCCCCCCACTTTTATAATGGCTGCTACGCCCCTGTTCAGATCTATATGTCTGCTCTACTCATTCTCCCAGACGTTCACATTTTTTAACGTTTTATGACCGCGGGGTAGATCAGTAGCCTACAAATGTGCGCATCTATCACACACGCTCAGGACATCAGTTCTGACGGATCGCTTCCCAAATCGTCACTATCTAACATTTTCGTCTAGTTTTTATTCGTTGACGAAAATGTCAATAGATTTTCGTCATAGTCTTTGTCATTCAAAACTAGGTTTTATTTAGTTATCGTCTCGTTTTCGTCTGTGAAAAAATGTCGTTGACGAATAATTTTCGTCGTTATTTTCGTCAACGAAATTAACACTGGTTGCATGTCATCTGCACACTGGTGGAAAAAAATATATACTGATTGATTAATTAACTGAGTAATTACACAGCTAAAAGAAGCATGTGTAGGTTAAATAATAGAGGACCCAAAATTGACCCTTGAGGTACACCACAAGATATGACGTAACGCCTGGAGGTGTAGATTCCCAGTGCAACGTAGTATTTATTGCTGCTTAAGTAGGATCTGAACCAGTCTAAGACAGGACCTGATAGACTCGACCCAGTTCTTTAGTCAGGGGTGTAGAATCTCATGATCAACGGTGTCAAATGCAGCACTTAGATAAAATAAATAGTCCCAAATAACCTGCACATCGTTTAAAACCTCATTCAAGACTGTTTCTGTGCTGTGGTTTGCCTGGAAGTTTAATGACATTTAGACACTATTTTTCAATTATCTTACCAATAAATGGAAGATTAGAGATCGTTCTGTAGTTACAGTAACTATTGTAGAGCACAATAACTACAGCAGGGGCCTAACAATTGCAGTTTTAAAAATATGCGGAAAAATTCCTTGCTGTAGGGACTGATTAACAATAGGTCAGGATGTCTGGTAATAAGCAGTTCATACCTGTTTTAAGAAATGTAGTTGGTAATGGGTTAAGAGAGCAGCTAGAGGACTTCATAAATGATATCACTTGTTTAAATACATTGAGGCTGACAGCTGATCTTTTCAGTCCAATTGAGCCATAAATCCAATTACTATGATTTTTGCTATCAAACTGTCCTCTAAGAAATCCTGTGTCACATGTGAGGAAAAGGAACAAAAATGTGCTTTGGGCCATATTCAGCTGCAGTGTGTGTTAACTAGGGCAGGTCCGAATACCATTTTTTGAGCTTCGAAGCTTCGGTAGTAATGAACATCGAATATTCGAAGCTTCAGAATCTCTATATGTCTGCCCATTTGCATTTTAATTATTTCGAGAACCGTTCATCCAAACAACTTCACAAGGGAGTGCAGTGTCGTATTTGGTGCAATATAGATAGACAGGCGAGACGCGACACGTTCAGAATTAATAAACTTTTAATAAACAACAGAACAGCGCGAGCAGGAAGCGGCGCGCCTCACGCGAGCAGAGCTTATATGCTCCGAGAACGGACACTGCACGTGATGTAAAACACACACACACACAGGTCTGTTAACTTAAGCAATATTTTTAATAAGGTAGTGTAATATTTTTCTCACTAACAAATTACTGACAAAGCAGGGTAGATTTAAATAAAGAAGCTGCGCGCCTCACGCGAGCAGGGCTTATATGCTCAGAGAATGGACACTGCACCAGTGATATCACACACACACACACACAGGTCTTTTAACTTAAATAATATTTTTAATAAGGTATAGTCTTATAATATTTTTCTCACTGACAAAGTAGGGTAGATTTAAATAAATAAAAACGAAATTTAAATAAAGAAAAACGAAAAATAAATGAACTGTTTAACTGGGGCACGTGACATGACGTGACGTCCCAGTAAAATCTCAAAGTCTCCTATATTTCGCCGTAGATTAATTTAGATTGATAATAACGGGTAAAAAGGACAATACATTTTGTTTCTATTATTCTATTTTCCACAATGTCAAAGCAACGCAGCTTAACCCAAAATACAAGCTCAGACATGCACTTCTGTCCATACAAACTCCGCTGTTCTGCGCTCTAGCCAGAGAATACTCCCGTTGCAGGAACACTTTTAGTAGTCCAAGAAGAAGCAAATATATTTATTAAGTAGCTATAACAAAGTTATATGTTAAGTATTATATTTCACCAGATTTTATAGTGTAAAACATATTCAAGCGCGAATGAGAACCATTTTGAGGGGATGCCAGGTGTGCAAAAAAAAAGAAAAAAAAGAAAAAAAAACCCGAATATTCGAATGTCACATTTTCAAATCGAATACCAACCCACCGAACGAATATTCGGGTCCAGCCCTAGTGTTAACTTATCCCAAAGGCAGTACATACATTCAATTCATTACCAAAGGCATTAGATGTGCTTATCTTACCATGGTGGGATAAAAGATGACAAAAATGGCTGATCCCACGAGTGCAGTTGGTCCTAAGAAATAGGTGGTGTATGACAGACCCAGAATTCCAACAAGAGGCCCTCCGGCCAGCAGACAGCCCACTGAGACCGCTTCATACAGACGCTGTCCATCACTGGAGCAAATGTTTACCAGCTGAAAGAGTAACAGTATGAGTCATTCAAAACTAAAACATGCCACGGGCTGCCATGCTATATAGCACTCAGACCTCACAAACACAAACCCAATTCAGATTTAAAGGGCTAAAAGGACACAAGATGAGCCATGAAAAGTGGCCTAAAACTACATAGAGGACCTGAACCCTCCCATGAAGCCTCTCAGATGTTATTTTTGCTTTACATTGGAGTAAACAAGGCATGACCTGAGAAGGTGTTCTCTCAATGTTGAAATTCTTAGTGGAGAATCTTGTTTACTAAAGTGCTGTTTCTAATAAATAGTTTAATATTTATTTTACGAGAGTATTAACACACAGTTCACCTCTCCCGTGCTGACGTCTTTAGTACTGCGCAGTCGGAGGATCTTCTGGAAGGCAAAAGTGAGCGCGGCTCCCCTGAGGCGTGCGGCCGTGCGGTAGTTGACAGCCCACACTAAAGCCAGAGACCAGGAGCGTGTCAGTTCCATGAGGAAAATCCCCCCGACCAAAGCCAGGCCGTACAGCAGCTTCACCTCTGAGCATTGAGAATACTCGAGCAGGGCTCGGACCAGCAGAGCCTGAGAATAACGTGGCAAAACAAGGATGCTGAGGGAGGTGACAGGTGTACAAAGACTTTTCAGAGTTTTTTTAAATGTATTATTTGAACCAAATCAAAATGACATAAGAAGGGTTTCAGAGGTGACCTTTGAGGTTTTATGGTATCAAAACATCCTATGAATTCTGCTGGGGTCATGGGATCAAGTACTGCTTAAGGAAAATACAAGAAAACACTGAGGTCTTTTTCTTTGACTGTCTCAAAATATTTTCATTCTATTTATAATTCAGATCTGGTCCTGCATCCTGTTTGGGCATATACGTACTCACAAAAATGGAGTTTGATAATAATAATAATAAAATAAATAACAAAATTGGAAATTGAAAAAAAAAAGTGAATCATCCTCCAATTACTTTTCAAATTTAGGCCTCTGAACAAATACAATACCATTTAAAAGTTTTGGGTCAGTAAAAAAAAAAACACAACCTTCTATTCAGTAAGAACCCATTACATTCATCAAAAGTGACGTGAAAAATGTATCATGCTTTTCACAAAAATATTAAGCAGCACAACTTTTTTTAACATTAATAATACTAAATGTTTCTTGAGCAGCAAATCATCATATTAGAATGATTTCTGAATGATCATGTGACACTGAAGACTGAAGTAATGATGCTGAAAATTCAGCTTTACCATTACAGGAATAAATTACATTTTAAAATATATCCAAACAGTTATTTTAAATTGTAACAATATTTCACATTATTACGGTCTTTTCTGATCAAATAAATGTAGGCAAGCCTTGGTGCATAAAATAGACTTCTTTCAAAAATCTTACAGAACCCAAAATAAGCCAAAAATAATAATATTATTTGGGTATTGACTTAAAGATTTGGGCCGGACTGGTGAGGGAATATTTCATTTCGGACAAAGAGCATTCAAATTTACTGCAAATAAATTAGGGTGCTGCAGAGACAATAGCTGGTCCATGCAACACTAAACAAATCAACACAAGGAAATAAGTGTGCTATTTTGTAACATGTAATCCCTGATAATGCTATTAAGCGAGTGCTGTCAGGAGCATGTGCGGCCTTGTGTGGGGAAATAAAATTAACAGCTGCGCTCCCAACAGTGTCGCAGTAAGAAACTCCCAGCTACACCAAAATAAATCCCCTCATAGTGAAACTAATAAGATCAAAAATGTGCGGGTTTTTTTGTTGAGAATTTTTAATCCTAACTCTAAATCACTCTTTGTTGAATAAAGATCTAAGCTCATTTGGCAAGAGAAATAAAGCAGCAGGCAATAACTTGAATAATATGAATAACATGCCCCCTGGACCATGGAATATCCAGACACACGTCACAATCCTCTGGATTAATACTAGTTTGAATTAAGAGAAGGCATGAAAAACCTTTGCTTTCCATTATAAATTAAATTTTGAGTCAGCATGAGCTGCAATATATAATCTCTCAAATGTATCCCTTGAATATAAAACTGTTCATAACTGTGTGCAGGTAGGCTATGTTTTCTGTGTGAAGCAGATAGGACAGGACGCGCTTCCACTGCCACACTACATTCGTTCTTATGCACAGTTAAAGGCACTGCTCATCCATAAACAATCTTCCTGTCATCATTATTTTCTTACCCACAAGTCATTACAAACATGTATGACTTCATTTCTTCCATGGGACACACACTAAAATAATCTATACATAGATTTTTTTTTTTTTATTCAACAAGAATTCATAATGATCGCTGACTGTATTGCTCCCAATAGGAAGTGAGTCACACAAAGATATTACAATGGAAGACTTGGGATATATCACAAGTCATAATGACTACTTACAGTATATCATGCTTTTTGTCCTTTTGGATCTTGTAGGCCTGTGGACACTATGAATTATGGTATGCACAAAGTCTGTCAAGATTCTTAAACATTGTCCATTTTTTTAGCATTTATGGGTGAACTATCCCTGTAAAGGCCAGGACACACCAAGCCGACGGTCAACCATCAGGCGTGTCGGTCGTGTCAGTCTGTGAAAGAAAGAACTCTGATTGGGTATTCAGCTTAGCGAACGAGTCAGTGCACGAGAATAAAAGCAAAAGTGATAAAAGCGCACAAAGATGTCAAAACGGTACAGACAGAAGGCTATTATTAGTTTATGTCATCTTACCTGAACATTCGAATGCACAAATATTTTCATAATAGCATGGCCCGACTGGAATAAAGAAAGTGATCAGCGTGATTGATATTCAAAATGGTAAGTGGGCACTGCTTTGTTTACGGTTTGTATATCTGCAGTACTAGTTTCGGTTTCCCTTTTTGAATGGCGACAGTTGTCATTTTGGTGTGTTCAAGCGCAGCTTTTTGGCCGAGACGCCGCCGACAACACAGTCACTAGTTCTTTGACGTTGGCTTGGTGTGGCACTTGGTTAGGGGCTGGATAGGGGAACAGGTCAAAGGTCACAAATCCTGGGGCTGGTGGCATAAACTGTGAAGACTTAGTCATTAACTTACTAGTCTTCAATTTTCATCAACAGTTCATCTTAACTCAGTTACAAAAAAAACTTAGATTGGCCTAATTTGATACTGAAAAGTAAGACTGAATGCCCCTTGACTAAATGCTAGTGGGTCATGCAAAAACTTAAGACACTGTTTTAACATAATGGCTATGTTTATGCAATCGGCCCCAGGTTATACGAGTTCTTAAGACACAGTCTTAGCATACTGGCAGTGTTTATGCAACTGGCCCCAGCGGGTCAGTTTTGTCAGAAGGAAAAAGAGGAAAACTAGAACTCACAGATCCAACAAATCCAGCCACCATGGTGATGAGCAGGGAGAAGATGGCCACCAGCATACGGGTCTGACAGAACCTCCAGAAAACCCGGGACAGAGACGACCCGTCCTTCCCCCGCCGCTTGAGCTCCTCGTGCCACATCCACTCCAGTCTGAATGATGCATTAAATCATGCAAAGACATTGTGTTTTAAACTACATGGCAAGTGAGTGGACTGTTTAATGAAACCTCTAAATGTTATTTTGTTATTTATGAATGTGATATTATTGTGTACAATTCATCCATGCATATATTTTTCTAATCGTTTTTTTAATGTCATGACTTAATCAGAATGTCATAACTGGATTTTGCGTTGAAAGCGACAGACTTCTCTCCGGTGACGTATGCAGGACTTCTCCCATCATTTAAAATCCAATCAACAACCAATGCATAGAACCAAATACACGGCCAACCTTTTTTGTTACACAAGTCACAATACAGAAGAAAAGATAAAGAAAACTTTAAATTGTAGGACAAAATCGAAATATTAAAGCTGCAGTCCGCAACTTTTTTTGTGTTCAAAATGTACAAAAATTATACAGGTCCTTCTCAAAAAATTAGCATATTGTGATAAAGTTCATTATTTTCCATAATGTAATGATAAAAATTAAACTTTCATATATTTTAGATTCATTGCACACCAACTGAAACATTTCAGGTCTTTTATTGTTTTAATACTGATGATTTTGGCATACAGCTCATGAAAACCCAAAATTCCTGTCTCAAAAAACTAGCATATTTCATCCGACCAATAAAAGAAGTGTTTTTAATACAAAAAAAAAAAGTCAACCTTTAAATATTAATTATGTTCAGTTATGCACTCAATAGTCAATACTTGGTCGGGAATCCTTTTGCAGAAATGACTGCTTCAATGCGGCGTGGCATGGAGGCAATCAGCCTGTGGGACTGCTGAGGTGTTATGGAGGCCCAGGATGCTTCGATAGCGGCCTTAAGCTCATCCAGAGTGTTGGGTCTTGCGTCTCTCAACTTTCTCTTCACAATATCCCACAGATTCTCTATGGGGTTCAGGTCAGGAGAGTTGGCAGGCCAATTGAGCACAGTAATACCATGGTCAGTAAACCAATTATCAGTGGTTTTGGCACTGTGAGCAGGTGCCAGGTCGTGCTGAAAAATGAAATCTTCATCTCCATAAAGCTTTTCAGCAGATGGAAGCATGAAGTGCTCCAAAATCTCCTGATAGCTAGCTGCATTGACCCTGCCCTTGATAAAACACAGTGCACCAACACCAGCAGCTGACATGGCACCCCAGACCATCACTGACTGTGGGTACTTGACACTGGACTTCAGGCATTTTGGCATTTCCTTCTCCCCAGTCTTCCTCCAGACTCTGGCACCTTGATTTCCGAATGACATGCAAAACGGAGCAACAGTCCAGTGCTGCTTCTCTGTAGCCCAGGTCAGGCGCTTCTGCCGCTGTTTCTGGTTCAAAAGTGGCTTGACCTGGGGAATGCGGCACCTGTAGCCCATTTCCTGCACACGCCTGTGCACGGTGGCTCTGGATGTTTCTACTCCAGACTCAGTCCACTGCTTCCGCAGGTCCACCAAGGTCTGGAATCAGTCCTTCTCCACAATCTTCCTCCGGGGTACTTGCATTCAGACAAACACAACCTGACAGTAAATGAACCTCGCTGAAACAGACAGTTCCCACCACACAGCACCACACCTTTGACAGTTTGTTTCTGAGGCCTCGTGGCAAGACAGACCCCACACATCTTCCATTTTGAGACATGACGCTTTGTGGGCGCTCCATGCCACCTCCATGTCACCTCTTCTCGTTGTGCAGCGTTTTTTGCCACACTTTTTCCTTCCCACTGAGGTGCCTTGATACAGCACTCTGGGAACAGCCTATTTGTTCAGAAATTTCTTTCTGTCTTACCCTCTTGCTTGAGGGTGTCAATGATGGCCTTCTGGACAGCAGTCAGGTCGGCAGTCTTACCCATGATTGCGGTTTTGAGTAATGAAAAACGCTGGGAGTTTTTAAAAGCCTCAGGAATCTTTTGCAGGTGTTTAGAGTTAATTAGTTGATTCAGATGATTAGGTTAATAGCTCGTTTAGAGACCCTTTTCTTGATATGGTAATTTTTTGAGACAGGAATTTTGGGTTTTCATGAGCTGTATGCCAAAATCATCAGTATTAAAACAATAAAAGACCTGAAATATTTCAGTTGGTATGCAATGAATCTAAAATATATGAAAGTTTAATTTTTATCATTACATTATGGAAAATAATGAACTTTATCACAATATGCTAATTTTTTGAGAAGGACCTGTATAATGAGCGAGTACATCATGAATCAATTTTCCAAACAGTGTTTCTGTCTTATCCTGATTAACTACGGTCCACCAATAATAAGTGTTTATATTCAGACTATTTTACACTGGTTTGGGTCGCCACCACAGCAGAGTAGCCCAGTGCCTGCGTGACTCGTCATAGACAGAAACAGAGAGAAGTAGCTCCGGCTACAATGTTCTTCCGCAAGACGCATGCAGTTCTGTTTATTAAATGTTACAGACTGCAGCTTTAAAGTTACATCGGTCACTAATAAAATCCCAAAATGTCTTCTTCACTTTATTAGACAGCTCTCTGAAAGGCTCGATTCTGAGGTCAAATATTTTTGGATAATGATGCTGAACTGTACAATTGATTTTTGTCCCTAGCAACCAGTTTCAAACATAGCTATACTACTTTTGTGTCTCTTGTATCTCTCACTTAATCAAATACATTTAGCCTCATATTTCATGTCTTTCAGAATGATACAAGATCCCTCCCTCTGATCCTTTTTTGGGTCCTGATCCTTTTTTTGGGGATACTGCCAAGTTGACTGAATATTATCCCTTATCTCATATCTAAATTAATAAATGTGCAGTATTTACATGTTAAACACTTTCTGTATTTTAAGCTCAAGGGTTAAACAACACCATATATTTCTGGTCTTCAGGTACACTGAGTAAAAGAGCTCATTTTGGGCACACATTTAGAAGCTAAAACATCCACACATTCAATATAAATCATAAATGATGTTCAATTTCTCAGAATGTTGATATATTAAAACACTCAAGCAAAGCCTCTTTTAAAACGTTGAAATTCCCCTACAGAATAAACAATCAATCTGAACTGAAGGACCAAAGTTTGAGCTTTCAGTTCCCATGCCATAGACCTACAGCTGCCTTTCAAGGACTGATATAAAAATTCCACTCACAACTTTTATCTCTCACAAGGATAAAACACTTGGTGAATTGTATCTTCTTCTTCTTTTTCAACAGCCTTGCAGGCCCCCGACCCCTTCTGGTTTGAAGATAACACTTTATGTTCCAGACCCCAGACAAATATCCACTGCACACCTCACACAAACCTGTACACATGCCATAGACACGTCCCAGCTATCTCTGACATAAATGCAGTAAGGGGAGAAACAGACCCTGAGGTCAAACACTGAAAACTGACACCGGTTGTTACAGAGTTGCTGAGGCATAGCTGTCAAGCCATTTGGACGGCAAATACGGTACATGAGCCTGTATTTAACATACGGTCATTGATCGCAACAAAGAAGGCACAGCCTATGCTATCAAAACCTGATCCAATTCAGCCATCAAATTTGGATTAATCTCAGATCTGTGAAGCGAAAAGGCAATTACAGATTATAGGTGCTTTTCCATGTTCCCATGTCCTCGAGAAACCCTTTGAGCCCGTCTGATTCTCGCCAATGAGCCAGCTTAGTCGAAAGGGACACGGAGCGCCGATCACACGTGTTAATGACATAACCGTTCTGCAGGAAAGGTGCAGACTAACTCTCTCTCTCTCTCTCTCTGATGTCTAATCCTTACTATGAATAACACCCACCTGCCATTACTCTCTGGGCTGTGTGAGTGTAGGAGGTGAGCATCCATCATTCCCCACCGTGACTTGAGGGATTCCCACAACCAACCTCTTATCAAGGCGTCACCTGTGTGAGACCTTGGCTCAGGGTGTTTTTTCTAATGGTTCTGTTTGTTCAATTTTCAGCATTGGGAAACAAGCGCGAGAGATGCCTAACTTGGGCTTGGCTCCGGGGTACTTGCATTCAGACAAACACAACCTGACAGTAAATTAACCTCGCTGAAACAGACAGTTCCCACCACACAGCACCTCACCTTTGACAGTTTGTTTCTGAGGCCTCGTGGCAAGACAGACCCCACACATCTTCCATTTTGAGACATGACGCTTTGTGGGCGCTCCATGCCAGAGGGGACAGCCATTGCAGGGTCATAAAGGAGAAAAATCCTGCATTGTCCACAGGGTGCTGATGTCTGGGGGTAAAAAAGAACAGTTTGGCTCATATCAGTCATCTAGGCGCTATGTGCTATGTCTGAGAACGGTGTGACCTTGAACGCGAGAGGAAGACTGAGAAAATCTTTACTCGCTGTGGCCAAATAGAAGATGAATCGCACGCTTGTGTTTGAACAGCAGTTTGCACGTCCCTCTCAGAACTCTTAGGGAGCAGTGAAAAAGTTCAGTGGCTCTTTATCAGTCAGCATGTAAAAAATTGAGCCGTCTGTGAGGAAAGGATAAGAGCATTCTTATCAAGACCTCATTGACTGTCACTTGAGTTCAAATGGCAACATAGCAAACATATTCCGGTTTCACAACTCACACAAAAGCATTACAGTGTGTAGCCTATGTTTATTTTGACTCCATAATAACAGGTTACAGTTTTCACACTTTCCACGTATGTAGGTACAGGTAGTTTGTGTTGAAAATACACTGTAAACCTATTAGGTCCCACTTTATATTAGGTGTCTTTAACTTAAAATAATTTTGATGTACAATGTACTTACTGTGTTTATGTTGTATTGCAAAACACTTTTGCTGCTTTTGAGGTGGGTTACGGGTAAGGATAGGGCCAGGTTTGGCGGTTTGGGTAGGTTTAAAGGGTTAGTTCACCTAAAAATGAAAATTCTGTCATTAATTACTCACAGTCATGTCGTTCCAAAAGCAGCAAAAGTGTTTTGGCGGTGGTGATGGCGCAGTCAGTGGATAAGACACATGCCTTTGGTGTGAGAGACCTGGGTTCGAATCCACTGTGAGACACCAATGTGTCCCTGAACAAGACACTTAACCCCTAGTTGCTCCAGAGGCGTGCGACCTCTGACATATATAGCAATTGTAAGTCGCTTTGGATAAAAGCGTCAGCTAAATGAATAAATGTAAATGTAAATGTTCCAAACCCATAAGACATTCGTTCATCTTCAGAACACAAATGAAGATATTTTGATGAAATCTGAGAGCTTTCCGTCCCTCCATTGACAGCAACTTTGAATATATGTGAATAAAAGCCTAAATTCAATCTGTTCATCATATAAAGCGATCAAGTCTCTTTAGAAAATTAGAACTTAACCGCATAATACATATGGATTAGTTTTACGATCTCTTTATGAACTTTTTGAAGCATCAAAGTGTCAGTTGCGTAGCTGTCAATGGAGGGACAGAAAGCTCTCAGATTTCCTCAAAACGATATACACTTGTGTTCTGAAGATGAACGAATGTCTTATGGGTTTGGAACGACATGAGGGTGAGTAATTAATGACAGAATTATATCTCTTTAAAGGTGACCTATAGTTCAAAATTGAATTTACCTTGGTATAGTCAAATAACAAGAGTTCAGTGCATGGACATGACATAGAGTGAATCTCAAACTGGACTGTTTTCGCGTTCTCATTTAATTCACGTTTATGAAAAACACCCCTGAAAAACGGTCGGTTCTCCACACAATACCGACTGTGACGCAATAGTCGGGATCATTAATATGTACGCCTCCAAATATTTGCATAATGCCAGCCCTCAATGCCAGGCGGAACTGCGCAGCCGAAGCATGGCAGTTGCTCAGTGTGGATGTACACATGAACACAAAAGTATTTTTTAGTTCCTTCATCTGGGCCTCTCAAGAAACAATGGGTTAATTTTATTTTCTCTGGAAATTTCCAAACATTTCACCGAGTGTTTCCTCAACTTGGGCCAAAACAGAGCTGGCCTCGGATCGAGCTACCAAGCAACACTTTCTGATGAGTAATTGTTCAAGTTCAGACAGGTAATCTTTCTCTCAAAATCGTTCAATACTGTTTATGCATCAGTAAGTCAAGCCAGTGACTAAAATATCAGCTTCACATCGTTTCTTTTAGTAGGATGAAAATAATCGTATTTAATTTGTGAACAAATTATATACAGAAAGCGATCAAAGAACAATCTTTCCACACAGCGCGAGTTTATCTGGACACTTGCCAAACTCGTTATGAAATCAATGACGCACGTTACTGCACAACGAAGCTCTTACTGTATTTACATCATCGTGTTTGCATTGGTGAAAGCAGAGAGAGTGCAGAAACTGCTTTGCAATGATAAGATCTTCATTCTCGCGATCAACACTGTCATCTGCTCAATGCTCATCACGGCAACATTTTATGTGATGGGAATAGATCTAAATACTTTAAAAACAACTCACGATTCGTTAATCTCGATAGCTGTTATAGTAAAAACGTATAATAGCAGTAGTAAAAGTATTCGGGAGAGAGTTTCACATGTAATGCGTTGCTATTTCATATGCAAGCATGTCAGCCAATCACAGCAGTGGCCGCGGTTACACTGAATCCCACAGCAGACACGCCCCTTCAAACAGAGTGTTCAAATCAGAGGCTAAAAGCAGACTAGGAAAAATGCCATTTATTTCTAAATTATGATTATTTTTTATCTAAAAAACATACTAACATTATAAGGGTAACCCAGGAAACATTATAAAATAAAAAATAAAAACATTCTAGGGCACCTTTAAGGGTGGGTTAAGGGGTAGAGGGAGGGTCGACAGTGTAATTATAGATGTAATTGCAAAAACTAATTACAGATGTGATGTAGTCACAGTTTTGAAGCAGGTTAAACATGTGACATGCACACAAACCTTTTTTATTCAATTAAAGTGACTGATTCAGATGATAAAAGCAGCTCATAGCTTCATTTTGGGGCTTGGGGTCAGAGTACAGTAGATTAACTTCTATTTGGATGGTAAATGTGGTGCCCCTGTTTGCTGCGCTTTCCGCTTGTGTGTGTGACTTTAATTTAATCGAAATGTTATTGTCCTCAAAGAAAAAGGTCATTCATTTTTTTTTCTGTTAGATCATTTGGCTGGACATTAAAAAAAACATAGATTTTGTCCATAAACATAAAAATATCTATTCATATATATGTTGTGACTATCCTCGTGAAGTGATATAATAAGTATCAAAATAAACAGTATAGACAGAAATACTAATTCATTATATTGGCATTATCTAATTGGGATCTAATATTGTCACAAATGACAACTCATGAACTTACATGTTACTTCGGAAATGTTATATAAAAAAGCTATACAGTTTTATACAGCCAGTCTTTAAAAAAAAACATTACTGTCCCCAATTAAAAAATGTGGAATGACTCCTCAAAAAACATGTTTGTACAGTCACTTGTCATGTAAAGGTGGAAGCCCTTCCATGTTCATTAATCCATCACATCCTACGGAGTGAAGCTTCCACACTTTTAGCATTAATAACCACACCAGTTTTATGTCTGTGTGTGGATGCAGCATATGGGAGTCTAACTGTTGGAAACGATGTGTCAAAGTAAATTAATCCCTTGCCCTGCAGCGTGGCATGCTGAACACCAGCAAGAACTTTTTTTAACAGCATTCGATAATTCTTCTATAATTATTATACATGAATTGAGGGACTGCATGAAATATTTAGACTTGGAAAAAAAAAATTGTCACACCACAGGGCCATTTAAACGCACAAGTGAATGGGGAAAAGTCCAATAAAAATGGTAGCAGTACACATTCTATCCTACAAAATTATGATTTTTTTATTTTTATTTGATTTAATCTTAATGTCCGAGCCCATTTGTTAACAGCCCACATATTTACTTTATATGGTTAAAACAACAACAACCAGGAGAACTTACTTGTGCGTGATCCGGAAGGGCTTCAGTATCTGTAAGCTATGCCGATATCTGCCTCGTCTTTTTATTTCAGTGCCCAAATCCACATCATCATCAGGGTCTGGAAGAGTCTGGGGAGGGGACAGTGTCAAACCCTCCACCTGTCCTACGGCCTCCAGGGCATCTGGGAACATACCTACCTCTAGCAAACACAAATAGAAAAAAACAGCAAAATACTTTCAGACACTTAGGATAAGCTCCCATCCATGCTCATGAGTCATGACTAGCAGGACAGGGGATGTCTAAATCTGTGGACTAATATCAGTTTGGTGACGCGTACCTTTCTCTAACGTTATGGCCTTGGCTACAAATCTAAAGTGCTTATCTATTTAAAGACGCCTGTGAGAGGCCTCAAGGGCTCGTGTATATGAGACGGAGGGAGGATATTCGAGCTTGCCGCATGCGTGTTGACCCTGTCACTGATCCATCAGGGGCATAAGACACGATAAGGTAAATCCAGCAACACTGTGACTCTGTATCTGGTTGGTGTACGTCACCAGCGGCTGCCAGATAGTGAAAGATAACCACATAGTTTGATTATTTACACTCCATACAAGAAAGAGTCTGTGATAGTCTACTATCACATTGGTGATTTTTATTATCTATGAATGTAAACAACGATAATAGGGACATTTTGAAATTTTATAGGCATAGTTCACACAGAAAAGAGCAACCAAACCTGTAGTTTTATTTCAAAAAATTTAAAGAACGGATCTTGCTATTATAATGAACGGAAACTGAGGCTTTCAAGCTTTATAAAGGACAGCAAAACCATACAATTATAACATCAAGCCTACATGTTCTGTGCGCTATATTCCAAGCATTCAGAAACCATATGATTGTTTTGTTGTGAGGAACAAATTGAAGTTTAAGTCATTATTCACTGAAACTCCACTCTAGCTCTCCTTTTATGAGAGCATTATGAGCTTTTAAGAGCATTTATGAGAGTATATGAGAGAACAGGCATTCTTCTGAGAATAAATCAATTAGTCGGCTTATTCAGTTAATTTATCATGTCTGTTGTCCTATTTTAAAATGTGTGAAACATACTTTCCAAAGAAACGCTGTTTTATAGTGGCTTTGTATTTGTCATAATAACTATAAAAAAATAGTGATGCATAATATTGGCCACCATATTGGTTTCGGCCGATAATATATATTAATTTTTAATGTTATCATTATCTGCCAGATAAGAAAATGTGGCTGATATCTTAAAGCCAATAAATAATGGATTATTTCCTTCAGCTGACACACTTCAGATGCGCACTGAAATATGATTGGAATCACCACAAAAAAGGAAAATGCAGTTAAGTGCAACATGTGCAGCGCAAGTCTGTCACATAGGCTACATAAAATTATAATGAGAACATCATTATAATTGTGTGCTTGGGACATGGCTTTTAATGGTGAGACTTTTATTTTTGTAATCAGGCTCTCAAATTAAATAAAAATGTGGATTTACATTTATCGGCCAATATATCGGTTATCGGCTTTCAAATATAAAGAAATATCGGCATTGGACACGATTTTAAGAGAGTTGACACTTTTAACAAATCAAAAATAATTGTTATGTTCCACAGAAGACACCCTATTTCAACAGGCATACAAACAATCAGCTGAGTAGGACAAAAATATGTAAACAATTTTGGGGCCTATATGAGGTCTATAGTTCATGTTTATATTCCCAATTTCAATCTATTATAAATATTTATCCATATGCACACGATTGGAGCCGAAAAAAGATTTGAAAAAGAGCCAGTCCTCTACTAACCACCATTGTGCCCAGGATTGATCCAGTGAGACTAAACTTATAAGAACTTTAAGTGTCTGCTAAATGAACTGTAGAAATTAGAAATAAGGTTTAATAAGAAATCAAGTTTATGATCATCATTTCAATCATTGAGCTGCAGGTTACAGCATCACACCGGTTCCCTCTATTTCTGTCTGTTCCCGTTCTGTCCAGCTAGAACTGTGTGTTCTCTGCTATCATTGGGACTCTTTATCGATTATTAGAACTACCTTTACCTCTAATAAACATTGCACGTCATTAAATGATGAACATGAGCATTGACTGTCCACTAGTTAAAGTGTTTTCTAGAGTAGAATCAACACAAAACTGTCTCTGCAAGTTTATCAAAACTTTTGGAGTGTGGAAAAAGGTCACTTACATCTCAAACAGAAAACACGTCGGGATTTTCACCCTCTTTCCTTTCAGCTTCAGGATGTTCCCACAGGTTATAAATGATTTATTTAGAAAGTCAACGCTCTCTGGGTCCCTTGCTGCACATGACACATCTTCTTCTCGGAAAATAACACACACAGCATAAACACTGATCCGGTGTAAAAGTTTCACCGCGTTAAAAAGGTTTTTTTAAGGTGTGGTGGAGAGAGAGAGAGAGAGAGAGAGAGAGAGAGAGAGAGAGAGAGAGAGAGAGAGAGAGAGAGAGAGAGAGAGAGAGAGAGAGAGAGAGAGAGACAGAGAGAGAGAGAGAGAGAGAGAGAGAGACAGAGAGAGACAGAGAGAGAGAAACGTGCCACTTGCCCAGCAGCTGACGGAATTCCCTAAATGCATCCTACGTCACGCCTGAGCAGCCAATCGCGGATTTGCTTGGTCGTCGCTACGGTAACCAGACACGAAGGAGAAGGAAAGGGCACGTGGTGATCTTTTCAACAGTCAGATTACCAGACTATTTATGGCCCGTCCGGTCACTTGAAGAACATTGCTACACATGGAATAACAGCAGAAGTCGCCAAGTCGGAGAATAAACAGTGAACACCTTTTAATGGTGGCCTATGTTTCTGAATGAAAGTGACAGAGTCTATGGCAAGCCGTTTTGACTTTTAATCTTTCGCAGGATAAGAATTTGTAATATCACAATACAATTTTCACTAAATGCTAATTCTTAATAGGAATTATATTTCAAAAAGTAGGCCTACCAATTTTGTATATCAACAATGACGTCATCACGTATGATATCAAGCATTACATTTCAACTGGTAAAAACTATACTAAATCTTGATATCTGTAGCAGCTAATTGTATTTTTACTAGTCACCATAGGCTACAATTCAAATTCAATTGTTGAATTCAAGAATTTATTTCTTACTGGTTAACATATCAGAAATACAATTCTTACAAGTAAAAAAATCATCATTTTTTATATCAGTAATTACATGGTTACTAGTGCAAATGCCTATTCTTGATGTCAACAGTTGAATTGTTTCTAAAGAGAACATGTCTCACACATAAAGTTAAATCAAACACAATATAACAATGGTGTAGGAGAGAAAAAAAGAAAAGAAAAAAATGAATATATATATTATTGAATGTATACATTATTTGAATATCTTTATTTTTTTTAGCTGAACCACTCCTTACATCCAAAGAGCACGAGATAAGGAATTCACACCCCGTGTAGCACTTTTTTTTCATTCTTTGCTTATCAGGAATTTATATTTTTACTAGTAACCAGGTAATTAATGATATCAAAAATTATGATTTTTACTGGTAAGAATTGTATTTCTGATATGTGAAATTGGAATTTTAACCAGTAAGAAATCAATGATGTCAACAATTGAATTTGATGGGCAGCCTATGGTGACATTTAACTAGTAAAAATATACCAAACATTTACATTTAATTCTTGATATCAAGAATTCGTATTTCTGCGAGTGATGACGTCATTGTTGATATCAATAATTCAAATTTGTACTAATTTCCTATATAAAAAATTGCCATTGTTTCCAGTAGAAATCTAATTCCTGATTTTAAAAATAGTTAAAAATAGTAAAAATTGAATTGTTGATATCAAGAATTCACATCTGAATAAAAGTCAAAACGGCTTGCCATACAGAGTCTGCGGTGTGACGAAATATTCCTCGTTCATGTGAATTTGTGTTTCCTGAAATTTGTTAATGATAAGACTTTGAACAGACGTTCACTATTTCAACTTAAAAACAAACCCACATCTTTCCATCTACGTTGTAAGGCTTTATTTTTCATCACCGAGTACATAATGAAATAGTCAAATGAATTGTACAATTATTGTCAATAATGCAAAGGTCATGACCTTGTGCTGTTTTGACATGCAGGTGATTGTCAATTGACAGCAAGCTGTTGTGATTTTTATGTAACAGCTCCACACTGAAGAAAACAAACATTTTTTTCATTGCTTTAACTCATCAAAATAAGTTAAGCAACTTTCAACTTTGTATTAAGATTTAACTCTTTTTGTTAAGTCAGTTTAAAGTAATTTAAGTTGAAATTACATAAACATCCAAGTTGATTGTACCAAAGATTTTTTTTACAGTGCATGCAGTCCACACTGAAATATACAATAAACACAATGAGGTGGTTGACAAATAAGTATGAACTTTTAATATAACACTAAGATTTTAGGTTACAAAAGGGACAGACTAATTTTAGGTGCCGTAGCCGTTACTGCTTACCAAGTTTTGTGCTGTTTTAATCACCTTTGGCTGTTTAGCGCAAAAAGTACAAACATTCCACGTTCTTTCGGTCAATATGAGGTCATAAAAACGGTAAGACAATTATAAACGAATTTGGGGAAAATGTATGTAACTGCTGTGTGCTAAATTAATCTCAGGTACATATGAAGTCAATCAGTATTATACAATCTTGTGCCTGCTGTGATTAAACAGCAATTCTACATGAATCATAGAGTTTCTGCAGACCTGTGCTGTAGTGACCTCTGTTGGTATTTTACACACTATTTACATTAGAATTGCCTAAAGCCGTGCACTTTTCGATCCCAGTCCTGCATGGGGACCCACAGCACTGCACATAATGTATTTCTCTCTTTTACCACGCTTGATTCAGATCAACTTGTTAGCAGAGAGCTCCATCAACTCAACGGGATGAATGTCCTGAACAAGTCCTTTGCATGTTTTGGTTCCAGAATGGAATTTATTTTTTCCAGGGGTGAATAGATGACTATTTGGGACAGTGCCTGAAAATCCTGGATGGGTGGCAAGTAACATAAGGGACACAATGACAATCAATTCTACAAAAAAACTTCTACGAAATAAGCTCACGGAATTTACACATGAACAGAGATGACAGAAAAACATACGGAGAACATCAGCTTTTGTTTCTGCTTTGACAGCCGCAAGACGACGCCAAACGCTGTGAGTGCTTGTTAGAAATCAGGAATAGTGAGAGAACATTGTGCTTGGTATGTCTTTCGTCATCAAATCACACTTGGGTCTTCAGCAGACACAGTTTAAAGGGTTAGTTCACCCTGCATCCCTACATAGTCAAGTGGTTTAGAGAATGACTGGTTGGATGAGTTGCCATTCGAAAGCACAGAACCTGCTGTCTAATCGCTCTTCACTGTAAAAAATGATTGTGATTTTAACGGTAAAAGACTGTAAATATGCTACAGTGAAAAACTGTTAATTGGTTAACAGAACCTTTCCTTACTATATACGGTAAATAACTGTGATAGATCTAATGGTACATTTCATGTAATTTTACTGTAAAATACCGTTAAATTTACAGTTTTTGAAAGTGAAAATGAACAACTCATTGTATAATTTACAGTGAAAAACCGTAAATTGACATTCCCACAATTCCCTGCGTGACACTTCACATTTGATGTATTTTTGTTGAAATAACTGTTCAATTCTTCAGTTTTCTAATCAGTTATGTAGGGGTTTATGTGACATTTAATGTTGTTAAATTAATGTTTATTGCCTTTTTAGTACCATGATGGTGTTTAATGTTTGTGTGAATGACAGAGTGCAGCTTCTATATATTAGTATTAACTTTCTTGTGGAAGAGCTGCTTATGATAAGCTTTGATTGATCATTTGACTCTCATCACTGCTGTGATTGTTGGCTGTCAGTGTATTACAATGGTACAAAACAGATATTAAAGCTGCAGTCGGCAAGTCTGGCAGATTGAGTGGATTTAGGCAAAATTTTGAATGTTTAAAACTCTCATGGCCCTCCCCCACTATCAACGAATACCCTCCCCCACTATCAACAGATACCCTCCCACCGAGTTCGTGCGCGTCAGTGCGTGTGCACCAGATTTTCAGTGACAATCCCGTCTCATCAGCATCCAGCAACACCATGGATTATTTGGAGGTATGCTGTCCTGGCTAATCTACCGATAGATTGCAATTGCTAACGTCATTTATACTCTAAATGAGCTTACTTGATTTTCCGCCATCACTCTTCGTTACTGCGCAAACTTCAGGCGTGTGCATGTGATTGTAACGTGCGCGAGGCGTGTGCCCGATCTGTGATTGACAGTCAGATCTCACACCCCCCTGTGCTGATTGGACCCGATGATCCGGGAGCTGTGGATTTTTGCTAAACAAATAACACGCTCCAGGTGGAGTTAGAAGCTCGGGTTTTTTTTTCTAAAACCACTTTATTTATGTTGTTCTGTCGGATTATAGTGTCGATTTCACTGAATATGATAAAAAAAAATGTTGCCGACGGCAGCTTTAATACTCCAATAGGTCGGTAAATTAACATTATATCAGATAATAAAATACGGTTTATTTCTGTAAATTTTAAGTTAAGTCTGTAAAACCTTGCTACCGTAAAGTCTTGCTACTATTTTATACGGTAAATTTCTGGCAACAACAGCTGCCGGTATTTTACCGTAAATTGAACAGATTTTTTTTTTACAGTGTACGGACGGCGCTAAATACAGGCGTAACCGGGGTCTAAAACGTTTGAGCTTGTCAACTTTTGACCACTTCCAGAGGTAGTCGAAAACGCATACGACCGGATTGCTTTCGTAGTGTAAACGCTCATTTTTCCCAGGGATTCTGGACATTGACAAATCAGTTTGAATTAAAAGTGTGGGAACCTGCAAAGGAAAAACAGTTACACTTTTAACTCCCGAGGTAACTTTAACTTTGCCGAGGTACATGGAATATTATTTTATAATATAAACAACAGGCCTACATGTTTGTTTGTTTTTTTCTTCATAAGAGTACTGAAAATTTCCTTGATAAAAAAAAGTCATAAAATGCTTCAAAATTATGAGTTATGTTTTCTTTTGATTTTGTGGTGAAATATGTCTTTGTGAGATTGACCCTCATTCAGCATTGTCTTTATCACATATGGAGAGCTATGAGCTTCTATGCTTAAGATGAGTCATGTGTTTGAGACCACTCACTCACCTGAATGTAGTTATGGAGCTTGTTTGCCTGCTGAGAGTCATACATTAAGAGTCCCTGAAATCACTTAAACGGTTTCACTTTCCTGAGCTGGGAAATCTTCAGAACGCCGGCAATCAATAAAGTGGATCCAAAGCTCTCTATCAATTTCCACGAGCCTTCACGATACATGCCGGCTTTAGCATACACTCTGCTGGACTAC